TGCTCTTTTGTGCAATGAGAAATGGTACTGTGAACTCCTGAAAGCTAGCAAGTAAAGTGTTATTCAATCATTTAATGGGGTTTGTTTAGCCTAAAAATATTAAGTGGGGAATCTGATTGCTGCCTTTAACCACTTAATGGGTGGTTACAAAGAAGAGAGGAGTCAGACTTTTCAAGCTCCACAGTGAAAGGATGAGCAGAAATGGTCGCAGGCAGCATCAGGAAAATTCCTGTTAGCTGCCACAGGAGTTTTGACAGTGAGAATTGGGGACGGGGGTGCCCAGAGGGTCTGTGGGAGTTCCATCCCCGGAGCTGCTCTGGACTTGGGTGGACAGAGCCCCATGCAGCCTGAGCAAGGGTTGGACCAGATGGGCCTCCAGAGTCCCTTCTAAGCTAAATTGTTCTTAGTTATTTAAAAGGCAGTCATTTAAAATTGGGTTAAATTCCAGTTGTTCTTTTAAATGTTACTCTCTCAACTCAGCTTTCTCAATGTGAAGCCAGGTGGCATTAATTTGAAAAGTAAGTGTCTTTTAAAGTTTTTTTGGTATTGCTGAGGTAAACTCCATTCACTTGCGTATTTGCAGTAGAATTAATTGAAATGACTGCAGGCTTTGGGAGAACAGAGTAAATCATCAGGTACGTATTTACTAAGTCTTACCTTTCTCTTCCTTTTTCCTCACTGTGATGTGGAAGATACTGTTGTATTCCCCAGTGCAGCTACACTTTAAATTGATCTGTACGTCCACAGACACTCAGAGAAAGTCTCTTTTCTTCCTGGGTGTTAATGTTTTGTGCCCCCCCGGGGTTGCTTGCTCTCTTCAGGGAGGGCAGGGAGGAGAGCTCCCAGCTGGGCGAGGCCCGTTGCCCTGCCGCATGAAACCCGCCGGCTGCTGCTTCTCAGACAGCGGCTTTTGGGGGTGTTTTTTCCCTCATCCTCCCCCCGTCGGGGACAAGTTGTGTGTCGTCGTCCCCTCCCCGCTCCATTTATTTACCGATCAAGCCTCACCATTTCGTACCCCCCACTCCACCTCAGCCCGGAGCCGTTGCCCGCCGGCCCCCCGCGCCG